TTTTTAGATAATAATCATTTTTTTAAAGTAACCATTTTTGTCGGAATGAACATTTCGAAGCAGTCTAAAACGGGTCAATTCTCCTACTATAGCTCAATGTCATATATATGAGATCCACAACTAAAAAAAGGAATAAGCATTCCAGACACTAATATTCCGAACCTGTTACCAAAATCTCAGAGATTTTTAAGCATTTTCTACCATGGATCCAACAAACCAGATTAGTTTATTGTTTAATTTACTTGCATTTTAGTTTACAAACGATTTTCTGTATTCTAAAATGTGTAGAACAATTACGGAATACGAGAAACAAGTCCTGAATAAGTTCATTTTTGTAGTTATTTTTACTTTTAGTCATTATAACTATATAAATATCTTAAAATGTGTTAGTGTCACTCCATAGAGAGGAAATAAGTCTAGATTATTCATTAAAAGTGATTATTGTTACGTGCATTTTATGCACCTATTTTGCACGTCTATTTCTGTATTTTCATTGTATTTTACATCATAATTCGTGTATTTAGTTAACTATTTGGGAACTTGCATGTTTTATTTAGAATGTCTAGTACTTCATTATTTTTTGATTTATTTTGCAAGCATTACAGAGGCAAACATGGAGTTTGGATGATGGAGCTTGCATCATTAGAGCATGAAAGAGAAGATGGATCGTTCGTGTCAAGGAAGAAAACTTGAAGAGACAACCTATAACTAAATAATTAGTTTTTATTTATCTTACATGTATCAACTTTTCAATTTGAATTATTATTCAACCCTAAAAAAACACATGTAAATACAAAAAATTTATATGATCGTAATGAGAAAGTCAGAAGCTTCAAATATAAAAGGAAAATAATAAACAGAAAAATAAACCCTAAATACTAATTAACCTTTCAATCTTCTAAAACTTTGTACACGATATAGAAACATATACATCATATTTGATCATCAACCAAACAAATCAAATTGAAAACCTAGCAACATAATCTACCTTTGAGAACTATATTTACCACTATATCAACCAATTAATAATCATAAGTATCATAGGTTATAAAACTTTTGAGTTGTAGTGGTTGATTATTATTAATTAAAAAAGAATATGAGAAGTCTTCTAGGTTTCAAATGAATATGGTTAAAGTACTTTGGCATCTATTATAATAGAACTAGACGAATACTCGCGCGTTGCGCAGAATACAACAATATATTTGAAATCTTTACAAATGTATGTTTTTAAATATATCATTGATGTTGTTGTCAGCTCTTATATAAAAAATCTTATAATAAGTTGGTATAAACATTGTTTGTTTTGAATTATATGACAATGTATACATCTTTTAAAATTCTATAATCCTAATTGTCTCAATAGTCTCTACCTGTGGGTTACTCATTAATAAAATTAAATATAATATATGGTTTAATGATATTTATAGTTATTGTTATAATTAATTAATTTTAAAAAGATTGTTTGCTTAAGATTTTAATTTTTATCATTGTAATTATTGAAAACATCAAACATTGTTTTTGTTTTTAAAGGTAACACTATAATTTTTGTATATAATATTATTTTTAACTATTGCTGTTGTAAGTTATTTAAAATAATATATTTGGAAACTCTTAATTAATTTAATTTGGTTTCAGAAATTTAACTTATTTAAAATTTATTTGATGAATATTTTTAGTTTCTTTTATTGTAATTTATTTAAAACAACAAACATTGTTTTTGTTTTTAAAAATAACATTTTAATTTTTATATAATATTACTTTTAACTATTCTTATTGTAAATTATTTTTAAGCTACTTATTTGAAAATTATTAATGATTATAAAAAATAGTTTCATGGTTTTTTTTTGTTAATTTAGGATTGCAATTTAGGTTTAACACTATAATTTGTAACTTTTAACTATTTATAAAATAGTCTCTCAATTTTTTTTCAAGTTTAATTGAAATTTTTATTTAAGTTAACTGTTAACATTATATTTAAATTAATAATTTAACTATTTTGCATAAAATCATAAACTATACAAAAGTTATGAATTTAAAATAACAATTACTTACATACGACAACATATCTTAACTAATAAGTTAACTATAATATGTTAAAAAGTTAAAGTCATAATTTTATTAATATAAGTAAAATATAATATTTTAACATTGTAGTTTAGTTAATTTATTATTAGAATTTAGTTCTTTGCATTAATTTAACATTATTAACCAATTTATAATAATTATTAGAAAGAAATTGAAAAGTCATGGAGGTTTCAAATGCATGTGGTGTAAGTAAACATACCTTTTTTATAAGTATACTAGTCGAATCTCCACGCGTTGCATGTGAATATAATTATTTAATTAAAACAATAACATTTAACAAATTCTTATTTAATATTTATACATGTAAAACTAATGTCAATAGCAAAACAAACTCTATAGTTAACATATTAGTTTTATTAAATTTAATAAATTTATATAATTAGTTATTTCCCCTATTAATTCATAATTTTATAGACCGTTTTATGTTGTGTAAATTATATATCAAACATATATTTATTCCTATGTATAAAAAAACAAAGTAGTATGAAAAAATAAATACTACAACTTTTGATGATTTTATAGAACGTTTTAAGTTGAGGAAATTATATATAAAACATATGTCGGTTTGTATATAAAACAAATAACAAATAGTATGAAAAACACTATAGCTTTTAATAAAATAAAAACATTATAACATTATGACATTTACATCAAACAAAACTTATTAAACACTTATAAATCATTCAAAATAAATATTTAGAAAAACAACATACATTTGATATATAGAAACATTGTTATAAAAAATTTGTATTGAAATAACCATTGATACGACAAAACTTATATTTTTTCAACTCTTTCATTTTGAATCACAAATCTTTTCAAACATATGATTTTTTAATCAAAACTTACTTATATACTACTAATATAGCTACAATGTTTATAATAAATAAGTGGAAAATAAAAAAGCATTGTACATTAATAACCATAAGTTTAAACAACTTTTGAATGTTTTGGAAAATATAAAGACAAATTACATTAAATTTGAAATCATAATTACATTTAAATAAAAAAAAACTATTGAGTTATAGTTGGAGTTTTAAACTATTGATTTATGCCCAATAATATAATATAAATATTAACAATTATATGTTATAAAAACAATATTATAAGTATTTATCATTGAAATAATAATTTTTATACTAAGTTGTAACTAATATTATAATAATTTAAAGTATACGATAAGAAAGATATAAAAATTTGTGTTTGAATCAAATTGAATAAAGTTTTTGATTTAAAATTATTTTAAACTATACTTATTTTTAACTAGTTTATAAATAATTTATTTGAATATTTTTTATTTCCTATATTATTATTATTATTATTATTTCAAATAACAATAATTTATTAATGTAATATAATTTATTCTTTAGTTTTACGTTATTTTAAACAATTATTGCTTTTTACCAATTAAAAACTACTTATTTGAAAATTTTCATTATTATATTTTAAAAAAAAACTATCATACTTTTTTATTGTATTTTTATTTTTTTCCCTTAAAGCTACGAATTATTGGAAGAGAATGAACGATCCAAATAAAATGGTAATTTGAATTTCAAACTATAGTAATTGTTATGTACTGTGACCAATCTTAAAAACAATATGTTAAGAGTGGGTTAAGGGAGGAGGAGTGTTACAATTGAGGTATATTTTGATCACTTATATTATCTTATGAAAATATTAATATTTTATTTATTTTACTTTTCATTTACGATAAAAAATGAATATGAAAAAAGGAAATTGACAAATGTAATAAGATAATTTATTTTTATTACTATCAAAACTTTTAAAAATTGGGTACATCCATATAAGTTTTGGTAGAACATAAAGAATTCATTTTTATAACACACATAATTATTGGTTTTCAACAATAAAGTCATATCATATTAAAAATCATTTGTTCTAATTCGTCATTATCACCAACAATTTGGAATAATAATTGTAAACTCCTTTCATCAAAATCAATTATAAAAAACTCCATCGATGTTATTTACAAAATAAGCGATAGAAACTAACATAGTATATACATACCATAAAATACATGTTGAATAATGTTCTCTTGTACATAAAATTATTTTCTTAACATAAAAACGAGAGAGACGACATAAAGATACATACATGTTAACAAAGTTAATTGCTCTGACTTATAAATAGCTTGATGGTTGATTTACCGAAAGTTCATGAGAAGTAATTATCAATCACACTTCATCATCTTGTGATTTTAGAAAGATGCATAACACATAAACTTAAAAAATGATCTCAAGTATACCTTTACAAACATACCTAAATTTGAACATTGGTTAATATCTAAAACTTTATATGCACCCAATTTGAGTTTACATATATTTGAAAAAGTTGCAGTTACTTTCTTACATCCATGGAACCACTCATATAACTCTTCAAACCCTACAAATATAATCTATCATTTTGTGTTGACATACATACAATATGTAATCTACAAATTTCTTATATAGGCTAAATATTTTATTTAATTCATCGATTAAATAACATGATTTGAAGAGTTTTAAGAGTTACAAATCATAATGTTTCAATTAATCATAAATTAATTTGTATAAATTGAATAGTCTTGGGAGTTTCAAATGCATGAGGTTCAAGAAAAAATGGTCTTGGGAGTTTCACATGCATGTGGTTCAAGAAAAAATGCTAGCTTTATAAGATATATAGATATAGATAGATAGATAAATAGATATAGATATAGATACATATAGATAAATATATAGATACCGGAAAATTTTAAAATAAAATGTAGTGCACTTACCGTATTTGAGTTTGAATTGGTGGTTTCTATTATTTAATTCATCAATAAATGCTATGTATCATAATTAATGGTGTATAAACTTTGACATTTTTTCCTATATAATAAGTAAGCCTTATATCATATAGCCCACAACATCAACATGAAAAAATCATTGATATTCAACATATTTCTTGTGCTTCTCGTTACTACAGGTGATTTCCAATCCTTTTCTTTTCAGTTAAAAGTTTTGTGACTTGTAATTTCCAATCTTCTTCTTTTCAGTTAAAAGTTTTGTGGCTTGTAATTTCCTATAAATCGATGGTTTTTCTTTATTTTAACTGAAACATCTATAAGTTACTAACATAAAATCCATTAATATTACTTTCTAATATTAAAGGAATTTTTCCTTTCTTTTTTAAATTTGTTGCTAAAAATGAAAGCTTGATATATTACATCACTAGATTTATTAATGAATACAAAACCATACATGTATTCTAAATTTGCAGGTATGAAGTTGCTCATGGCCCAAGAATTTTGCACTACCACTCATTTTTTACCGATATGTGAAAAGTATGCATGTATTCATGTATGCCTTAAGCTCTATGGACATCATTCCTTTGGAGAATGCAAAAATCCAGTAATGTGTCGTTGTTATCATCAATGTAATATTATAGGAAAGGATGGGATCCGTAGAAGCGATGAAAACTCTCCCCTCCCTTCTCCTCACATTAAGAATCACATAGTTTAAAGTTTAATCTCTATAAGTGTTGTTAAGATTATTAATAAAGTTGTTGCTTATTGTGACAAATATTATGGATGGTATATATATGCCTATAATGATATCATATCCTCAGTTAATGACACATATCTGCAAGTGAAAAGGCAAGAAGTAGTTGACAATTAAGTTATAAAATACAAGTAGTTGACTTTGTATTATAAAATAAAGAGTAAATTATCGAAATTGTCCATGTCAAAATTGTTTTCTAACTTTTATTTTGCACCCCGGTTATTCCTATGGTATAATTTTGCTGCGTTTTTTTAGTTTTAGTTTTATTATTTTTAAATGATTTATTAATTTTTTTAGTTTTAGTTTTATTATTTTTAATTCTCTAAATAAAATTAATATTACAATACAAATGGGTCCCACCCTTTTCCCCATTCCCTTTTTTGATAAATCTTTCCGACTTTCGTCTCCCTTAAATCATTCGTCTTCCGTTTACTTTCTGTCACCGGTACATGAAAGCTTAGAAAGGACGACATTGGAAAGAATCAACAGTTAGATCTGTGAAACGAGTTCTCGGTGAGAACTCAACAAACGTAAATCAAAATAAAAGCAGAACTGATGTGTGGATCTTGACAACAAGAGAGAGAGAGAGAGAGATGTATATGAAACTTTGTCAACGGTCGTCTTCACATAATAGAGAAGAAGCTACCATATTTAAAGGCGGGTCCTATGACTCATCTAATTTTTTTTTTAAATTTTCTTTAGTATTATTTTAAAAAAATGGATGGAAATGAAATTCGTTCTTTTCCTTATCTCTCAATTTTTAATACCAAACAAACAAGAGAATTAAAAGCATTTCTGTTTGGGATATTAATATAAAAACTTGTCATTTTTAATGGTTTTATGACTTTATCCCAACATTAATTTTGTATACAGATGATTGAAACTTGAAAAATAAAAAATACATAAATAACATTTAGCCTGTTCATGATTCCTCAACTCTTATCTAAGCAAATTACATATGAACTCTTATCTAAGCAAATTACATATGACTTGTCTAAGATGAGTTGTAACTTAGGAGGTGCTTGGGGTTGCTTTACAAAACAATTTATGACTTATTGGCTTTCTGAAACCCAATAAGCCAAAAAAAAATGACAAAAGTCAAAAGCACTTTTTAGAATAGTATTTGGTTTCAAAAAACATGTTTTAAAAAACATGTAAAATTGGTTTTTTTTTAGAACTGTTTTTTGCTTTTTAACCGAAATAACTTCAAAAATGAGATTTTAAGCCAAAAACTCTTTAAGTTATTGAGTTACTAGTTTTTTCACCATAAAAGTTCATACATACACTTTTAAAAAAAATCATTTTACCACCACTATAAGCGAATAAACAATTTTGTCTAAAAACGAAAAAGCGATCCAAAACACCCTTTACACCTACATACACCTACAACCGCAAATCGGAGGGGAAAAGGAAGGCGCGGAGAGGACTAAGATGGTAAACTATATATGGGTATTCCTTTTTTTTATTTATTATTATAGAAATAATGTCTTAATAGCTAAAGTCAGAGAAACAATGTTTTCCCCCATTAAGTCCTGACTTCTACAAATTTTATTTCATTTCTCTTTTACTAGATATTTCACTCCGTAAATAATCGTTGAAGTGACCAGTCAAGATTTTCTTTTTCTAGAGGGAATTCGAGGAAACCGTAGCATCCCAATTTCACAATAAATTTGAACCTTTTAAAACAGCCTAAATAAACCAAATCGTATCTTTTATCCAATTTAAGTTCAAAACCACACCCTAAGATAAATTTAGTTTCAAAAACCATTAATAGTTATAAATCCCAATTCCAAGGAAACATAACCAATGTAACATCAAAAACTCCAACGATCTGTCTCGATCCAGTGTGTACCTGTCACACCCCCAAACCAGAACGGTGGAAACGTCTGGGGGTGGATGACTTCATGTACAGTATCATAACAATTGAATAGTAGTGATCAAAGCCATACAACCATTGTATTGATAATTAAGAAGTTTACATTGTACATATAACATTGTTTACTTGATGTTAAATACATATGTCAAAAGTAAATAACGTGACGCGGCGACGCCCCATTCCTCAAAATCCTTTTGGTTACCTGTTTACTGATTTCATGAGAATACAAGTGGTTTTGAAAAAGTGTCAACAATTAAGCTGGTGAGTTCATAAGAGTGTTTTATGCGAAAAATCGGTAATGTTTCCTTGTATGAATGATAGAGTATTCTTTCAGAAAATCCAATATTTTCTTTAAAATGAGTTGTAAGACTTAACCCACAGACCAAAAATATAAGTAGTGTTGTACTGGGAAAATAGTATAATGAAGTTTTATCTTTGTATAATACTACTTGAATGTATGTTAACCCCGTAAACCAAATGTATTGTTAACTCCCCATGTGAGTTATCATAACCATGCTAGCGACTAGTGGCCTGCTACGACGTTCTTCGGGCATCAGAATGTTAGACATTTGTCACCCTAGACCTGCCGGTCTAACTGTAGCTAACAGCTTCGGTGCGGGGTTGTCAGTCCCGTATAGATCTATACACAAGTGTCACGCTCTCTTACCAAGATTCTGGTTATAATTTAGGACTTTAGTGTGTACTCTGGTAGGTACGGTGAAGCTAGTGTCTCACAAGATTGTATTAACATGTTTATGTCTAGTGTAATGAAACCCTTACTGGAAGTATTACCCTCCTATAGGGCCATATAGTGTAAGTATATTGATACCCTTAAATAATTATATGATTCGTCCAAAATGATAGTGTAGTATCTATGATTCCCAAACTATACCAATTATAGTTTATTATAAATGATTTGTTAAATCTATTTATATAAATATTTATATAAATACGTGATAGTTATCTTGTCTAGATGTTTTTAAAAGATTATATCATAAAAACTTATATCTAACACAAGTATGTGAAATTGGTATGAAAAGTCCATTTCTAGTTTTTGCCCCATTTTTAACGATATTTTCCGGGAACTAGGAAAATATAAACTTGATAAAACTTGTTTCTATCCCATTTGGGATTTTAACTCATAGTAGCCTAATATCTTTTAAAACCATATATTTTTAGTTAACACTCACAAAATGATGTTATAAACTTTTTATGTCCATTTTTGTTTAAAAACCCATTTTTACATAAAATGATACATTCATGAGTTTTCTTTTTGTGAAACTAACTCCTTGATATTTTGTCTAGTTTCAAAATGTATGACCAAAACAACATATTTTGGGTTTTATCCCACAAAAATGGTATAATAACTAGGTTATAACCATTTTTGCTAGAAAATCCATATTTTGTCCAAAGAAAATCTTAGTCTTTGTAGTCTTGTAATTATAACTTTTTCGTGGAAATATATAACATAGTTTTTGTTTTGTTTTTCTTATTTTTACATCTCAAAACTAACATACCACAAATAAATGTTCTAAAAACTAGTGATAACCACATTTCATGCAAATAATGCTTTATATTCAACATAAGAATGAAACATGCAAACATTTGTGTTGTAAACCAAACTTTACTTGTATCCCCCCCCCCCTAAAACATGAAAAAATCGAAAATATGGGGGTATGAACTTACCTTGAGTGTGGTTGTGGTTGGATAAAGAGGTGTCACAACTGACATTTTAGCTAGGAAATTCTATTCATGTTAACCATTCATCTACTGTAAAACATATACTCTAAGTAAATCTCACTCAATGCTCATTTAGATTCACCATTCATGTTTATCAAAGAGTCTGAAGCCCTAAGATCCATGGTTTAAATCCATATTGGACTAGGAGTTCCTTATTGGGCCTAATGGACCAATAAGTACCCAATGCAACTTTATTGGACTTAAAAGCCCTAATTGGATCCTAATTGGACCCAATTCATAAATCTAAAACAGTTTGGACCATTTGGGTCTAGAATGATTCATTCTAACCCTAATGGGCCTTATTGGGCCATAACTAATCCAATTAACCTTAGTGAGCCATAAGCCCATTCTTTTATTATAATTGGGCCGTGAATGCTTCCAAGAGCCCAATGGTCTAAAAAAATTTATGTTTAGGATCCAAATATCCTAGCTAAAGTTAATTGGCCCAATCTACTCCACCCTTTCTTCTTGGCCCAAAATCTCGGCCCATGTATGAACAAAAAAAATAAGAGAATTAGGGGGGTTGACTTTGGAGGTGTCACCTCCATAATATCCAACATGCATCAAGGCTTAAAACCACCATGCAACCAAGCTAGTCACCTCACCCCTCTCTCTCCCCTCTTCTCTTCTACTCTCGGCCGAAGACAACAAACACACACACACACATTACACCAAATTCTCTCTATTTCTCTCAAGAATCATCCATCTTCTTCCTCCAAAATTCTCAAGATTTTGCTTAGGTTTCAAGAGGATTTTCACAAGATAATCATCATTCTTGAAATCTTCTTAAGTTCGAGATCTACTCACGGGAGTTGCTAGGGCCGAAAATCACTTCATCTTTTTCCACTTCTTCTTCAAAAACCGAAACATCAAGCAAAATGTGAGTTCATACCCCCTTTTTTCGTTTTTCATATGATTTTTGGGGGATAATGCAAGTAAAATGTGTAGATCTATGTGTTATATGCATGTTTTGTGTGAATTCTTAGTTTGTTTGGTAATAATGGGTTAGATCTTAGCAAATCTCGAAACTTTTAAGTATTATTTACCAAAGATCTACAAACTATGACATGATATACATTACATTATCAAGCCAAAAGTGAATACATGTTTAAGATGCAAAAGAATTCAACAAAAACCTTGTTAAAGGTCAAAATTGTCAAGAAAACAAAAGATAAGGGTAAAAAGTGAAAATTCTGTTTTTAAAAGGGCCAAACAGGTCCTACATGTATAAAAAGGTATTTTTATGCTAAACATACTTTTAAAAGGGCCAAAAATGCAAATTTTAGCTTAATGGGCCAAAACTTTTGGGCCTCACAGTTTTGGCCCCAATTTGCGAAAAA